GGGTGGCTCAGTTGGTTAAGCATTTGACCTCTGCTCAGGTCACGATCTCACAGTTCATGAGCCCCACATCAGCTCCGTGCTGACAGCTCAGAGTCTGGAGCCTGCTTCAGATTCTGTGTCTCTCTCTCTCTCTGCCCCTTCCCCACTCATACACGAGCATGCTCTCTCTCTCAAAAATAAACAAACATCAAAAAATTTTTTAAAATAAAGGAAATCACTCTAAACTGAAGACAAATAAAAAAATAGTAATGTTCCAACATTGGTTTCTCAGTTTTGACAACTGTGCCATGGTCAGTGTCAACTGTACCATGAGATGATAACATTAGGGGAAACGAGGTGAGGGTTATACCGGAATTCTATTCTTTTTGACTTCCATAAATCTAAAATTATTCTGAAGAAATTGGTGCAGCCACTCTGGAAAACACTATGGAGGTTCCTCAAAAAATTAAAAATAGAACTACCCTATGACCCAGCAATTGCACTACTAGGTATTCATCCAAGGGATACAGGTGTGCTGTTTCAAAGGGGCACATGCACCCCAATGTTTGGAGCAGCACTATCGACAATAGCCAAAGTATGGAAAGAGCCCAAACACCTATCAACAGATGAATGGATAAAGTAGATGTGGTATACACACACACACACACACGTGCGCGCACAATGGAGTATTACTTGGCAATCAAAAAGAATGAAATCTTACCATTTGTAACTACATGGACATGAAACTAGAGGATATTATGCTAAGCAAAATTAGTCAGAGAAAGACAAATATCACATGACTTCACTCATATGAGGACTTTAGGAAACAAAACAGATGGACATAAGGGAACGGAAGCAAAAATAATATAAAAACAGGGAGGGGAGCAAAACATAAGAGACTTAAATACAGAGAGCAAACAGAGGGTTGTTGGAGGGGTTGAGGGAGGGGGGATGGGCTAAATGGGTGAGTGGCATTAAGGAATCTACTCCAGAAATCATTGTTTCATTGTCTGCTATCTAACTTGGATGTAAGTTTCTTTAACTTTTTTTATTTATTTCTGAGAGAGAGAGACAGCACGAGCAGGGGAGGGGCAGAGAGAGAGGGAGACACAGAATCTGAAACAGGCTCTAGGCTCTGAGCTAGCTGTCAGCACAGAGCCCGACATGGGGCTCGAACCCATGAACCATGAGATCATGACCTGAGTCTCAGTCGGATGCGTAACTGACTGAGCCACCCAGGTGCCCCATAACTTGGATGTAAATTTAAAAATTAATTAACTGATTAATTTAAAGAAATAAATAAAACTGGGACCATGAAATATCTAAAGTTTTATCTAGTGGGGAAAAATAGTTATTCTGAAGTAAAAAAAAAATTTTTTTTTTAAGTCCTGGTGCATCTGGGTAACTCAATCGGTTAAGCGTTTGACTCTTGATTTCGGCTCAGGTCATGATCTTGCGGTCATGAGATCAACCCCCACGTCAGGCTCTCCACTGCTCTTTCTCTCTCTCTCTCAAAATAAATAAATAAACATTTTTTTAAGTCTTTAGTTTTTAGAGATACCTACTAGAAGGTATAATGAAATGATGGGTTGTCTGAGCATTGCTTTAAAATAACTTATTGGTTGGGATTGGGGGTATATACATGAAATGAGGCTAGCCTCACAGTGGCGATTGTTGAAGCTCAGTGATGGGTGGACCATTCTTTGATGACTATCTCCACTTTTGAAAGTCTGAAAACCTTAATATAAAGATTGACAATAAGAAGTACCTGGGTGGCTCAGTTGCTTAAGCATCCAACTTTGGCTCAGGTCATGATCTCACAGTTTGTGGGTTTGAGCCCTCACATTGGGCTATGTCCTGACAGCTCAGAACTTGGAACTTGCTTCGGATCCTCTGTCTCCCTCTCTCTGCCCTTCCCCTACTCTATCTCTCTTTCAAAAATAAATAAACATTTTTTTAAGTTGACAATAAACCAACAAACAAGGACTCTGGAGCCAGACTGACTAGGAAGTGAGTTCATCTGTGTGTGTGCGGCAGCTTCCTCACGTACCTGCCTCACAGAGTTGTCACGAACATTAAATAAGCCAATATGCCGAAAGGTTGGAACAATGCTTGGCTATTATCATCATCTTATGGGAAGAAAGATGGTCACAGACCAAAGCCCACAAGGCACGTCATGTCTCTCCACCCTCTGACATTGCTCAGTGTCCCTTATCCCCCAGCCCTCTTGCACAGAGAACCTTGAAGGATGGAGGAAAGCAAGGTCCTGAGGTGACTCTGGGAAGTGAGAAGAGAACTGTCTGTACCCAGTCTTGCAGAAAGCGATGAGACTAGTTGGGGACGGAGGGTGGTGTCCCTGGCGTGGGCTCTGGATGATGAACCACTCAGGGTTCAAGTGGCTGCAAGCAGCCAGTGTGGTAGGAGGGAGGGTTTGAGGGGGAGGGGGAGGGTCTGATTTCAGGAAGAAGTCAGCATGGGTGGGCCATGTGGGCCTTTGGGGCCTCTTCTAAAGGGAGGTGATTATCTCAGAAGCAGGGGAAGCCACTGGAGAGGGGTTAAGTGTGTGGCGGGGGAGTGGAGGGAGTCACCTGATCAGACCTGCACTGTTGAGACTGCCAAGTGGAAGAAGGTTGGGATTGGAAGGGAGCCAGAGTAGAAGCAGGGAGACCTGTTAGGCTTCCACAGCCTCGGAGATAGATAATGGCGGCTTGATCCAGGATTCCAGCAGGGGAAACCGGTGAATTTGAGAGCTGTGAACACTGGGCCTCTGGTTGTATTTAGAGGGTGAGGAGAGGAAGGGAAGTGTACAGGGGGACTCGCAGGTCTCTTGGGTGGCAACTGGGTGGCAGATTGGGCTGTGGTGTGTCAGGAGCAGGAGGGGGCAGGGGAGCGGTGAGAAGTTCCTTCACATGGGCAATCACTTGCACTATGCTTTCTGCAAGTCACTATGCTGGAGGAAGGGCGCTTCCAAAGCAAATACAACAAACACTTTTATTGCCCTCAAGAGCGGTGCCAAAAAGAGATATGGCAATGACTGGAGTAATCTCAAATGTGCATATATAGCTCCAGCGGTGATCACAGCAAAGAGCTCAGTCATTAAGGCCACTGGGAAGTTCTCAATAACTGTGTGTTGTGTGACTAAATGTCCCAGAACAGGTACCCAGAAAAGACAACCCACAAATCTTTATTCAGCACATCACCATGTGTCTAGCCCCACCTCGGGGTAAGACAGAGACAAGGGAGGGGAAGACCAGCCCCTTCTCTCAAAACATGCACACAAGGGGTGAGGAGAACAAGTTAGTATTAGAGGAACACAGGACAGACTGTCACTAAAGGCTAACTTAAGAAGATCCCACTTGGGGTGGCCATAGGGGAGGGTCAGGGAAGAGTCAGTGACTTGGTCCCCTGGTCAGGGATAATATCATATGGAAGAAGAGAGGAAGTGTTTCCAGAGCAGGAGGCCTGGCTGATCCTTAAAGAGTGAGTAGAATGTGTATGGAGGGCTAGGAAAGGGGGACAGCCAATGAATGGTCACTAAGGTGCAGGGAGAGGCACCCCTGACAGTCTCGCCCTAGGCAGCACCCTGCACTGGCCAGGAAGATGCCAGTCTTGTTCTGACACCTACATGCTGAGATGGTTTTTTTTTTTTTTTTTTTTTTTTTTTTTTTTTTTTAAAGTCCTGTTTTAAAACAGTGAGGACATTTTTTTCGGAAGGCTCAGGGGCTCAATTCCTTAATTATCAGTGAAGCTCGGTGCACCACTTTGCTGGAAGCAGTCCCTCTCCCACACAACCACGACCACCAAAAAGCAAAACAAAAAACCCCGCAAACACACACACACAAACCCACCACCTCACCGACCTTGTACAATTTCCTTTCTTCCTGCAAACTTCTTTCTGTCCGCCTCCGCTGCCCCCCACCCAAGGCAAACCCAGTTCACTTCAGTCGAGCCTCTTTGCCCTTTTCCTAAGAAAGTCCACTTCCTCCGCGCTGGAGGCAGTGGAGGACGGAGGGTCTGAGGCGGCCCGCAGCGTGGGAACGGCCCCTCCAAGCGTTCAGCCCTGGTCGCACGTCCAGGCTGTCGGTTCGAGCCTCATCTCCGTAGCAGAGGACGAGTTAGTGACGCCCTGTCGGGGGTCCCCAGGTATTAAAGGGCCACTGTCACCGTGCTCCAAAGAGCCCGATCGCGTCCAAAGAGCCGAACGCTCGGCGGCGCCAAGGCCCGGGTCCCGGAGACCCTCCTCGGAGGTCGCACCGGGGGAGGGAGCTGAAGCGGGCTCCCGGGAACGCGGACTCTTCCGACAGCCCGCGGCCCCAGGGGATGACACAGCGTTTCCTCCGCACCCCGGCTCTCCCTGCACGTCCTCGTTCCATCCCCGGCAGGGCACCATCCGGCCGACTCGCATCAGCAAATTCCCCGTTGGAGGGGAAAGGTGTCGCCAGGTCGCGGGGACCCCCCCTCGGCCCGTGGCCCTAAATCATCGCACACAGCGACCTGGTTGGGGTCAAGGGCTGGGAGTGTGACCGCGGGGTCGGACACAGCCCAGGGGCTCCGCCAGCAGCTCGGAAAGAAGGTCAGTCCCCACCCAGGGAAAGTTAGAAGGCATCTCCGCCACGCCAACTTGTCATCCAGAACCGGACTCGAACTTTCCGCCGGGAGTGGCTGGCTGCACAGTCCAAAGCGACCCTGCAGAAGCCGCTCGGACCCGGGGCGCCAGGTTCCCCGGCCGCGACCATCAGTGGCCAATCACAGAGCGCCTCGGGCGGGAAAGGCTGGAGGGCGCGGGCAACAGAGGAGTGATGGCACCGGCGGCCAATAGGAAGCTGAAATGGGAGTCCTCGCCCACCCTGCTCGCCAATGGGAAAGGGATGGCTGTGGCCGAGGTCCCCGAGGCAGTAGCTGCAAGGTTCCCCGGTGGCTGCAGGTCTGAGGACCCTAGGACTAAAAGGAGATTTTGAAGAGGAGTTTGCGCACCCTCCCTGTGCCACCCGCCGACCTTCAGACCATAGCTCGGTCCTCACCTGCTGGAAGCGAGGTTTGCCCAGCTGGAAAGGAGGTGCATCGGTCGAGGTGTTAGCGGCACTAGCCGCCGCCGCCGATGCTGTAGTCGCTGTATCCGCCATGGCCACTGACGCCTGCAATCTCCGGCCCTTTTAAAATGTCCCTCCTCGGCCCCCGCCACAGCTGCTTCTCCCGATTGGCCATAAGCAACCGCAGCGAGCCGGGGGCGCAAGGGATTGTGGGGAGTGTAGTTTTTCTAGTCACAGCGCTTGACAACCCTAGACTGCGGAGAGAGTTGTGCTGATTCAAACCCGGTCTCGGTTCCTGCCGCCAGTTCTGCAGGGCTCGGCAGTATGGGAAGAGCGTGCGTGTACGACTCTACGGTCCCGATAGGGGGCCACAGGGCTATCCCTCGCTGGTATCCTGCCCCTAGAAGTTTCAGTGGCTGCGGAGGGTGTCGCTCCCGGAGCTCTCGCCCAAAAGAGCCCTAGTCAAGCGGCTCCGACCCGGCACCAGATGGACGAAGGCTCCGGGTTAATCTCGAAAGGCTTTCTGCAAGGACTTGCACTGCGGGGCCCTAATGCAGTTTCTTCTGCCGACACCCTGCCCCTCCCCTTGTGCTCTCCAGCCACCCTGATACTGAGTACGGGAACATGCTGGCGGGCTCCCCGCCCCTGACGCTTGTACATTCTGAACCCAAAAAACTATCTTTGCCTGACTCTGGCTCTCCTGACCTCAGCCTAAACATTGCATTTCCCGATCCATCACCCTACATTCCCAAAATCCACTATGCTCCTATAGTATCCAGCACTTCTTCCTTGCAGCCCTCGCACTTTTAATTATTTATGGCTTTGCCTATGTGCTTCCTACTGTGAGGTCCATGAGACAGGATGTATGACCTTTTGATTCACTGCGAAGTCCTCAGTGCCAGGCTTGGGAGGACTCCCAACAGGGACTCCAATATGCATTGACTGTATGAGTTAAATAGTGGGAGCTTCAGAGCCCTGGCAGCTTCCACTTCCTTTGTCCAACTAAGAAGATCCCTCCTCAGTTCAATTCCCAGGCAGGAAGAGAAGTGGGAGTGGGGGGTGGGGTTCAGTAATGTTTATTAAGCACTACAAGGACTTTAGGTAAGAAAGTGCTGCATATCATAGAGCAAGACACCAGCAAGGATAATAAACACACTTGTGCAGAACAGAGTAGAAGGTTCTCAGATGAATCATCTGGTCAGTGAGCCAGGCTGGGAGGATGAAAAGGAAGCTACCCAAGAGGGCAGTAGAAATAGTTTTGATCCTAGGGAATCCCACTTTGGGTCTCCTTAGTCTCAAGGTGAGGTGCAGTATTGGCTCATGCCTACTCATGTCTTTCTGGACAATGCATGATCTGTAGCAGCCAGTTCCTCACCCACCTCACCCACCAACAAAAACCACAAGAAACAGATGATTCCTAAAGCTGGAGAGACAGTCTAGCTAGCTATGAAGAACCGTTTGTATCTTGGATTTGTATCTTTCCTACTAGACTCTGTGGTTTCACATTAGTAATCAAGTCTTTTACTCTCTGTATTCCCCCCACAGTGCTCAATAAATGTGGGTATCTCGGCAAAGAAAAGACTGAGTCCATGCCACTTGTCAACGCTGTGCTGCTGCCCCTGACATTAAGACAGGGGCAGTGGCATCCAAAAACCCCATTACCCGCCTTTTCCCCCAGGGAGCCTCGTACATACATTTATCAAAACAGGAACACAATAGAGCCACCTGCAGTATATGAACTTTTTATTCTTCATAAAGTGCTCAAAACATGAAGAACAAGCTCTTTATAAACAGGAGTTACAACTAGGAAGACAAACAGCAAAGCAGAACTGTGCCTGCTCTCTGCCCACCCCACCTGCAACTCTCCAAGTCGTGACGAGGAGCAGAGACATCCAACAAGAACCTTGGACTTCAACTCAAAGCTCTTCTGAAGACATCCTTGCCCTGGGCATTCTGGAGGCCCACAATCAAGGATGAGTGGAAGATCAGGGTCAGGGCTGATAATGGATAGAGCCCAGAAGAATACATAGTAGAGAAGTGCTCCCCTTCTCCCAGAAAAGATACCTACCCAACCCCCACTGGCCCCCAAAAAACATGACCCAAGATCTAGACACCTGGGGACATTTTCCTCAGCTTTGATGAGTGATCCTTAAGGTAGATAACATTACAGGGGCTTTCCCCCTATGTGTGGGGGCTCCTCTGCTTCATCCTAGCAGAAAACATCATCCACAGAGCACATGTCCTTCCAAGGCTGTCGAAGAGATCCCCCAGGCTCTCTCCGGAAGAGGAGGTGATTCCAGACAAGCTCTCACCTCTTCACTAGGCCAAAAGTATCCTCCTTCAGCACCTCCTTACCCCAAAACTCTTGCTAAAGCAGGGCACCCCAAGCCACTAAAGGTTCCCTGTGGATGCCAGGGGAAGCCTGCCATGGTTTTCGCAAGCAAACCGGGGCTGGGCCAAAAGATAGACACTTCATTTCAAAGTGCACTGCAGCCAAGCCAGGCAAGGCCATGGGGCAGAAGGGACAGGCTGGGAAAGCAGCTAGTGGATGGAGAGGAGAGTAATAAAGCCTTTTTCCTAAGTATAGGCAGAGTGGGGCCTCCCACTTCCAGAATATAGTTTTTAGCCTAGGACCCTCCTCAGTTGGGGTTGAGGGAGGAAAAGAAGGTGGCAGGAAAGTTAAAGGAGCAGTGGCAGCTTCACCAGACCCTTAACTGAAATGAATTCTGGGGGAGGGGCACAGCGTGGAGTGAGTCTCACCATCCTCCTTTCCCATTTCCAGGGCTCTGACAGACCCAGCCCCATGTGCTCAGCAGGGAGGGACGGGAACACCAAACAGAGAGAGAGGTCTACATCCAGAGGCTCTTGACCCCACCCACAAAAGGCACATTTTAATTGGTTTCCAAAAGTTCAAACCCTGCTGCAGCACAGAGTTTTGGCATCTGGACAGGCAACAAAAACAAAGATGGAGGCTTGATCCCCAAACATAAGCAGCCCAAAGCCCTGAGGCCTGGAGGGGCCCACAGCTTGGAGGTAGGTGAGGAGGTGCTCTCCCCCCACTTGCCCCAGCTCTCCATACATTCACATGTGACACTCAATGGGAAGATCAGAAGAGGAGGGAGGGCGGGGGGGCTGGAGAACACACATCATCCCCATCCATCCATGTGGCACTCATTCTGCAAACAGCTGGAAACACACAAAAATCAGGACACAGCAGAGATGAGACCAGACCACACAGGCTCCTTGCTCTCAAGGGAACAGACATGAGGCTCCAGTTGCCCATGACTCCAAAATGGGCAGCTTGGTTCCTGCCACAGCCCCGGTAATGCTAGGAGCTCTCCAGGGGCTGAAGACAGATGAGGAGGACAAGGGTTTAGCTTCGGATGAAATGACTGATCATTGTTGTAGGGTAATAAAGTATGTCCCAGATGCCACATCAAATTGCAGCTTACCCCTACTCCGACTTGAGGACTAAATTCTTTGTTCCAATTCCCTGGAGCCCCCAAAACTAAGGGATATGAAAATAGGCAGGTGGGAAAGACTGAGGGCTCCCCCAAACACACAAGTTGTACACGGAACCTGATGCCTCCAATGGGAGTCCAAAGGGTCCCCCTTCCAGCAGCCCCCATGGAGGCAGAAGGGAGGAGGAGCAAGGAGCGACAACGGAGGACAGACAGCAGCCTGCCCAGGTGAGAGTGAGTTCAGCGGGAGGGAGGGCGGTGCAAGCCCTGTTTGGGCAGTGGGTCCACGCAGACCCTCCCGGGGGCAGGGGTGAGGAGGGCTACTTGGGGGGGCCAGGGGGGATCTGCAGCAATGTGGGTGAGGTCTCCATGATCCGCACCAGCAGCCGGTCAATGTAGCTCTCCAGCTCCTGCACATGCTCCTCCCGCTGGCTCAGCTCGCGCTCCCGCTGCAAGAGCAGGCCGATGAGCTCGTCGTGGGTCAGGTGGTAGTACTTGGCCGACTGGTCCAGCACACCTGAGTCCTGAGACCAGGAATGAGCATGAGCAGGGCAGCCTCAGGCCTACCTGCCCGCCCACCCACCAACACCCAGGTTTCACCCCTACAGGCCCCTGGAGCGGCCTCTGTCTCCAATGCGAGAGACAGCCTAACTGGCTTCAGGGCTCTGGTGCAGGGACCAGGCCTACTCTTAGCTCCGCTCTGCCCAGCACCACCCTGCTCTTCCTCTCTCCACACCACCACATCTGCTCTGACGCCCCCTGGCATCCTGCCGGGCCTCACCTTCAGCCGCTTGGCGTCCACAGTCTGGCCAACGTGGGGGGCTGGAGCCACTGGCTGAATGCCACCAGATGTGACTGTCTTGAGCTTCTCCAGCCCACTGCTCAGAGCTGTGCTCAGACTGGAGCGGGGCTGCTTCCTGTCCGGGCTGCCCTCCACAGGGGCAGCACTGAGGGGCTTCACGGGGTGGGGGCTGCGGACACAGAGAGGAGACGCCTTATGAGGAGGGCGGGCAGCGCAACGAAAACATGGGGCCACCTTCTCTGCGGGCGAGCAGGTCTGCTGGACACAAACCACCACGTGGTGGCAGCTGCCCCTACACAGCCAGGGCCTCGGGTGGCTGCTCCCTTCATTTGTCAGCAACCCTCCCCTCTTCCTCCCTCACTGCCTGCACCCTCTCCAGTTTATTCCCTCAGAAGACATGTCGCTTCACAGGGACGGAAGAGGCCGGCCCACAGCCTTCTCTGCACCTACAGCCAGTCTTTGCCAGCCCCCCCCCCCCAACTCCTCCATACTGCAACCTTTCTCTAGGGGACTGACCAACTCTCCCAGTTTCCCAATTTTCCCAGGACAGGGGATTCCCAAGGTGTAGGACTTTGGGTGCTCAAACCAGGAAAGGCCTGGGCAGACTAGAACACTTGGGTCCCCACCTCTCTCTACTGGTTGCTTCCCTTCAGCATTTACACAGGCCTGAGAAACCCTCCCTTGACTCAGTCCCCACCTCCCCATCTTCCTCCCCCAGCCCCAGAGCATGCACACTGCATTCTATCTCTACAAATTCTTACCTTCTGTGACTCCTCAACCCATCAGAACGGGACGTTGGCCCCGCCAGACCATCACAAGTGTTCCTGCCGAGTCCACCAACCCCTCG